TCTCTGACAAATAAATAAATAAAATCTAAAAAAAAAAAAAAGTTAAAAAATAAAATGAATAAAATATATTCCTGTTCTCAAAGAACACGCATTCAAAGGAAAAACAAACAGAAAAAAATGAATAATTATAAGCTATTTCTTCTGGGAGATTTTGGAAGTTTTGCAAAAGAGTTGGGTTTTGTGTTGGATTTGGAAGAGTAAATACAAATTTGGCAGGTGAAAGTGCTAACTGGAAAAATTAATGCAAGAGGCATGGAAACATAAGAGCATGCTTGTTCATCCCTTCTACAAGCATTTCTGGTTACTTTGTACTTCATTTCTTTTTTTTTCTTTTGGAAATTTTGTTTTACTTTATTTTATTTATCAAAGTATAGTTGACACACAATGTTACATTAGTTTCAGGTGTTGTACTGCTTTCTTCATTTCCTTTAAAAAAAAAAGATTCAATTTAATATATTTGTTTGAGGGAGAGGGAGCATGAACAAGGGGTAGGAGCAGAGGGAGAGAGAGAAGTGGACTCCCCACTGAGCGGGAAGCCCCACATGGGGTCAATCTCAGGACCCTGAGATCATGACTTGAGCTGAAATCAAGAGTCAGATACTTAACCAACTAAGGCACCCAGGCACCCCCAGTTTCTTCATTTCTAAAATGAAGATAACAATATGACCTGCCAGTGTGCCTGGGTGGCTCATTCAGTTAAGCATCTGCCTTGGACTCGGGTCATGATCTCAGGGTCCTGAGATCAAGCCTCATGTGGGGCTCCCTGCTCAGCGGTGAGTCTGCTTCTCCCTCTGCCCCTCCCCCTGCTTGTGCATTCTCTCTCTCTCTCTCTCTCTCGCAAATAAATAAATAAGATCTTAGAAAAGAAAAAACAATATTACCTTCTCCACAGCGTTGTTGGGAAGATTAATGAGTCACTATACACAAAATCACGAAGAACAGTATTTGATGCATGGTAAGTGCTAGATAAATGTTAGTTCTTGTTATCATCACCTGTCCCCCACCCCTGCATGACACCACTGTCATCAACATCAACATCAACATCAACATCAACATCATAGTTGTTGGTGAGATCCTACCAGGTGCCAAATATTTTGCCAAATGTTTATGTAGCAGGGATAATAAAAACAGTACTGTATGCTATGTGGTTAGAACCCGTGTTATATGCCTTGCTTTATTTCATTCAATCCTCTCAACAACATACGAAGGATATTATTAAGAGGAATCTGGGGGCGCCTGGGTGGCTCAGTGGGTTAAGCCGCTGCCTTCGGCTCAGGTCATGATCTCAGGGTCCTGGGATCGAGCCCCGCATCGGGTTCTCTGCTCGGCAGGGAGCCTGTTTCCTCCTCTCTCTCTACCTGCCTCTCTGCCTGCTTGTGATCTCTGTCAAATAAATAAATAAAGTCTTTAAAAAAAAAAAGAGGAATCTGTAGCTCAAAGAGGTCAAGTAACTTATTCATAACAGGGATCTGATTTCAGGGATTGCACTTTTAACCATTCATATATAAAGATTAAAACGATGACTAATGAAGATGAAAAAGAGAGTTCTTTGCTCATTTTAGAATTAAGAAGAAGTATATATATTACCTTTACAAAATAAACAAAACACTGTATCTTATTGTTTTCTACTGCATCCAAGCGCTTAAGGCAACATGTCCACATATGTGACACCTTTTGGCCAGAATTTTCCATTCTCTTTCATTTGCTTGTTGTTAGTGGTGAGAGCTTTTCACCTTGATTTTCTTCAGATCCAAATCACCTGTTTTGCGACTGTGTCCCCTGAGAATCATGTAGCCTTTTCCCATTCTGGATGACTAAAGATACAAATGTAGTGATCAAATGTCTCAGAAGGCCTCAGAGATTTCCGTGGAACCTTTCAGACTACAGTGAATGCAGACTGGCTATGCCTGCTGAAACACGTGGCTTCTAAACGAGTCTGTCTTCCTTCCATGCAAATTAAGGAGGCTGCATTTGATGCCAGTGTAGGATTATTCACTGTCTGGGCCTGTAATAGTCTCAAGGAAAAGCCTGGGGACTGCACTTTCTTAAGAATGGGAAGTCAGGGTGCCTGAGTGGCTCAGTGGGTTAAAGCCTCTGCCTTTGGCTCAGGTCATGATCCCAAGGTCCTGGGATCAAACACCTCATTGGGCTCTCTGCTCAGTGGGGAGCCTGCTTCCCTTCCTCTCTGTCTGCCTGCCTCTCTGCCTACTTGTGATCTCTGTCTGTCAAATAAATAAACATCTAAAAAGAAAAAAAAAAAAAAAAGAATGGGAATGTCAGCAGCTTTACTTGTTCAGCTTCCTGAGCAAAACACCTACTAAAAATAGTCACTTCAGAAAATGTATTGGAAAAAAAAAAAAAAGGAAAGTGTATTGGAATGAATGAAGTGCAGAGTTGCTCACTTAAGTCTCTAAAAAAAATTAAGAATTTCATAAGCTTTCACGTAGTAAATGCACCAATATGTTAAATGACCTGCCATTGAAATAAAAACACAAATGAACCCCCTCTTGTGTTTCGTTGTGGTACTGCAAAATTATTTGGACAAAATATTGTCAATGTATTAGCTACAAAGTAAACATTATTATCAAGCACCTAGTTTTGCCATATATAAAATGCTCTTAAATTTGCACAGTGCTTCATTAATTACAAAGGAGACATTTTTGCAGAGACTAAATCATTTTAAGCCTCAAGGCAACCTTTTTGAAGATTTTATTTATTATTTTAGAGGACAGGAGGGGCAGAGAGGGAGGGAGACGGACCAGCAGACTCCACTCTGAGCACGAAGTCCCATGTGAGGCTCTAAGCAGGGCTCTATCCCATGATCCTGAGATTATGATCTGAGCCAAAATCAGGAGTCAGACCCTCAAGTGACTGAGCCACCCAGGTGCCCCTGAAGTAGGAATTTAAGATGAAAGAACTGAAACCCATTTATAACAAATGATTTACCCAATGTCACACAGGTACATTGAATCCTACCTCTTGGTGCCACAGAAAGACAAAATCAGCAGGCAGTTATGCCACAGAGAGGGTACTGACCTTGTAACCTGGAGCTCACTTGATATATGATCTTATGATAAACTTCTGCACATAAGTCTTCTTGTTTTTAAATTGGGGATGGGGGCTCTTGGGTGGCTCAGCCAGTTAAGCACCTGATTTTGGCTCTGGTCATGATCTCATTGTCCCCACATCAGGCTCCCTGCTCAGCGTGGAGTCAGCCTCACTTTCTCCCTCTCCCCTTTCCATTGTGCTCTCTCTTGCTCACTCACAAATAAATAAATAAAATCTTTAAAATAATATATATACAGAATTGGAACAATATTGACAACATTGATAATACCTCCCTAAGTTAAGATCAATATAGTGATTCACTCATTCACTGAATTTTCTCATAAAAAAGTTCAGGGAAGGGTGCCTGGATAGCTCAGTTGGCTAAGCATTCAACTCTCAGTTTTGGCTCAGGTTATGATCTTATGGGTCATGAAATTGAGCCCTGTGTCAGGCTCTGCACTCAGCGGGGAGTCTGCTTGAAGACTCTCTTCCTCTGCCCCACCTCTCCCCTAAAATGAATAAATCTTAAAAAAAAAAAAAAAAAGAGGGAAAGGGGCACCTGGCTCAGTTGGCTAAGCATCTGCCTTCTGCTCAGGTCATGATCCCAGGGTCCTGGGATGGAGCCCCATGTCTGTCTCCCTGCTCAGTAGGGAGTCTGCTTCTCCCTCTCCCTCTGCCCCACCGCCCTTTCATTCTCTCTCTCTCTCTCCCTCTCAAATAAATAAACAAAATCTTTTAAAAAAATAAAAAGAAAGAAAGTTGATGAAGGGGGGCCTGCTTGGCTCAGTCAGTAGAGCATGCAACTCTTGATGTTGGGGTGAGGTTGAGCCCCACGTTGGGTGCAGAGATTACTTAAAAATAAAATCTTTTTTTTTTTTAAGATTGTATTTATTTATTTCACAGACAGAGATCACAAGTAGGCGGAGAGGCAGGCAGAGAGAGAGGAGGAAGCAGGCTCCCCACTGAGCAAAGAGCCCGATGCGGGGCTCGATCCCAGGACCCTGGGATCATGACCTGAGCTGAAGGCAGAGGCTTAACCCACTGAGCCACCCAGGCGCCCCTTAAAAATAAAATCTTTAAAAAATAAAAGAGAGTTAATGGAAACACTATTTTCAGTGCAACTCCCCACCCCCAAACCCTAGAAATAATTCGAATGTCTATTAACAGAAGTGGACTAAAAATGTATATCCATTCTACAGAATATTATGCAGCAATGGGAGAGAATGACTTCCATGTAAGTGTGTTGTCTATACAGTAGCATTAGCCAAAGGTGGTTATGGAGCATTGGAAATGTAGCCAGTTCACACTGAGATGTGCTGTAAGGGTAAAATACACACTGGCCTTTGAAAGCTTAATAAGAAAAAAAGAATTTAAGATATCTCACTAATTTTTATACTTATTGATTTGTGTTGAATGATAATATCTTGATATATTGGGGTAAACATATTTTCACTGATTATACCCCTTTTTACTCTTTAAAGTGTGAATACTGTAACATTTATTTATTAATTAATTAATTAAATAAAATTATTATTTTATTTAAATTATTAAATTAAAATTATTTATTTTATTAATTAAATAAAACATACCAAATAAAATTATTTATTTATTTATTTTTAAAGGATTTTATTTGTTTATTTGACAGAGAGAGAGAGATCACAAGTAGGCAGGGATGCAGGCAGAGAGAGAGGGGAAGCAGGCTCCCTGCTGACCAGAGAGCCTGATGTGGGGCTCAGTCCCAGGACCCTGAGATCATGACCTGAGCCAAAGGCAGTGGCTTAACCCACTGAGCCACCCAGGTGCCTCTAAATACTGAAAAAATTAAGTCACAAACATATACAGTCCTTGTGATTATATATGCATATAAATACACAAACTTAATTATTTTATTATAATAATGGATTCATACATATTATGAATCCACAAATATAGACACATATTATGAGCTTGTTTAAAAACCGAATAGAAAAAAAAAAGTCCTGGAGGAGTCCAGGATGGTCAAGTAGGAGGAGACCTTAGTCTTGTTTGGTCCCAGGAATTCATCTAGATAGCTATCACATCATTCTGACCACCTGTGAACTCAACCAGAGATCTAAGAAAAGAATTGCTGCAACTATATAAACAGAAGAGCGTACACTTTCTGCGAATATGACAAGATGGAAAAACTCACCTCAAAAAAGAGAACAAGAGGTAGTACTGAGTGCCAGGTCAGTATGGTCATAAGTAAGATGTCGGAACTAGAATTCAGAATAATGATTATAAAGATATTAGCTGGGCTTGATAAAAGCAGAGAAGACACCAGAGAGTCTCTTTCTGGAGAAATAAAAGATTAAAATCTTATTAAATATTAAAATCTAATTAAAATTAACATTAAATAAAATATTAAAATCTAATTACAATCTTATCAAGTAAAATTAAAAAGGCTATTAATGAGATGCAATAAAAAATGGAGCCCCTAACTGCTAGGATAAATGAGGCAGAAGAAAGAATTAATGATATAGAGGACCAAATGACGGAGAATGAAGAAGCTGAGAAAAAGAGAAATAAACAACTAAGGGATCATGAGGAGAGAATTCGAGAGATAAGTGAAACCATAAAACAAAACAATTTTAGAATAATTGGGATCCCAGAAGAAGAGGAAAGAGAGAGGGGGAGGGAGGGGCAGAAGATAAATTGGAGCAAATTATAATGGAGAACTTCCCTAATCCAGGGAAGGAAACAGGCATTCAACTCCAGGAGACACAGAGAAGCCCCCTCAAAATCAATAAAAATAGGTCAACACCCCAATATATAATACTGAAACTTGCAAATCTCAGCAATAAAGAGAAAATCCCGAAAGCAGCTCAGGACAAGAGGTCCATTAGCTACAAGGTTAGAAACAATAGACTGGCAGCAGACCTATCCACAGAGACCTGATATGCCAGAAAGGACTGGCATGATATATTCATGGTGCTAAATGAGAACAGTATGCAGCCAAGAATACTTTATCCAGCTAGGATGTCATTTAAAACAGAAGGAGAGAAAAAAAGCTTCCAGGACAAACAGAAACTAAAAGAATCTGTGGTCACCAAACCAGCCCCACAAGAAATATTAAAAGCGATCCTTTAAGTGAAGAGAGAACCCAAAAGTAACACAGACCAGAAAGGAACAGAGACAATATACAGAAACAGGGACTTTACAGGTAATACAATGACACTAAATCCATAACTCTCAATAGTTATTCTGAATATAAATGGGCTAAATGTTCCAATCAAAAGACACATAGTATCAGATTGGATAAAGAAGCAAGACCCATTGACATGCTATCTGCAGGAGATTCATTTTATACCCGAAGACATTGAAAGTGACGGGGTGGAAAGCCATTCATCATGCGAATAGACATCAAAGGAAAGCTGGAGTGGCAATCTTTATATTAGACAAATTAGATTTTAAACCAAATACTGTAATAAGAGATGAGGAAGGACACTATATCATAATTAAAGGGTCTATCCAACTAGAAGATCTGACAATTGTAAATATTTATGCCCCTAACATGGGAGCAGCCAATTTATAAGCCAATTAATAATAAAATTAAAGAAACACATTAATAATAATACAATTATAGTAAGGGGACTTTAACACCCTCCTCCCACTGCAATGGACAGATCATCTAAGCAGAAGATCAACAAAGAAACAAGGGCTTTGAATGACACACTGGTCCAGAAGGACTTCACAGATATATTCAGAAAACTCCATCTTAAAGCAATAGAATACACATTCTTCTCGAGTGCACATGGAACATTCTCCAGAATAGATCACATACTAGGTCACAAATCAGGTCTCAACCAATATGAAAAATTGGGACCATTCTCTTGCATATTTTCAGAGCACAATGCTTTGAAACTGGAACTCAATCACAAGAATAAATTTGGAAAGAACTCAAATACATGGAGGTTAAAGAGCATCCTACTAAAGAATGAATGGGCCAGCTGGGAATTAAAGAAGAATTAAAAAATTCATGGAAACAAATGAAAATGAAAACATAACTGTTCAAAAACCTTTGGGGGTGTAGCAAAGGTGGTCCTAAGAGGGTAGTATATAGCAATACAAGCCTTTCTCAAGAAACAAGAAAGGTCTCAAATACACAACTTAAATTTACATGTAAAGGAGCTGGAGAAAAAAGAGCAAATAAAGCCTAAACCTAGCAGGAAAAGAGAATTAATAAAGATTAGAGCAGAAATCAATGAAATAGAAACCAAAAGAACAATAGAACAGATCAATGAGACTAGGAGCTGGTTCTTTGGATGATTAATAAGATCAATAAATGCCTGGCAGGACTTATCAAAAAGAAAAGAGAAAGACCTGAATAAATAAAATCATAAATGAAAGAGGAGAGATCAGAACCAACACCAGAGAAATACAAACAATACAAGAACATATTAGGAGCAACTGTTTGCCAAAAAATCAGGTGATCTGGCAGAAATGGATGCATTCCTAGAGACATATGAACTACCAAACCTGAAGCAGGAAGAAATAGAAAAACCTGAACAGACTGATAGCCAGCAAGGAAATTGAAGCAGTCATCAAAAATCTCCCAACAAACAAGAGCCCAAGGCCAGATGGCTTCCCAGGGGAATTCTACCAAACATTTAAAGAACTAGTATCTATAGTTATGAAGCTGTTCCAAAAAATAGTAATGGAAAGAAAACTTCCAAACTCTCTCTACGAGGCCAGCATTACCTTGATCCCAAAATCAGACAAAGACCCCAGCAAAAAAGAGAATTACAGACAAAGATTCCTGATGAACATGGATGTAAACATTCTCACCAAGATAGAAGCCATTAGGATCCAATAGTTCATTAAAAGGATTATTCACCACGACCAAGCGGGATTTACTCCTGGACTGCAAGGATGGTTCAACATCCACCAATCTACAACATATTAATAAAAGAAAGGACAAGGAGCGCCTGGGTGGCTCAGTTGGTTAAGTGGGTGTTTTTGGTTCAGGTCATGGCCCCAGGGTCCTGGGATCGAGCCCTGCGTCGGGGTCTCTGTTTAGCAGAGAACCTGCTTCTTCCTCTTACTCTGACTGCCACTCTATCTACTTGTGCTCTCTATCTCTCTGCTAAATAAATAAATAAATAAAATCTTTAAAAAAAGATTTTATTTATTTATTTATAAATTTATAATTTATATTAAATTTATATTAAATAAAATAAATAAATTTATAAATATAAATTTATTTATTAAAAAAGATTATTTGTTTATTTATTTGACAGAAAGATAGACACAGTGAGAGAGAGTACACAAGTAGGAGGGGTGGGAAAGGGAGAAACAGGCTCACTGCTGAGCAAGGAGCCCAATGTGAGGTTCAATCCCAGGACCCTGGGATCATGACCTGGGATCATAACTGACTAAGCCACCCAAGCACTCCTAAATAAATAAAATCTTTAAGCAAAATAAAAGAAAGGACAAGAAATATAGGATCCTCTCAATAGATGCAGAAAAAGCACTTGACAAAGCATGTGACACCATCTTTCCTTGGTTAAAACTCTTCACAGTGTAGGGATAGAGGACTCAGTATCATAAAAGCCATATACAAAATGCCCACAGCCAGTATCATCTTCAATAGGGAAAAACTGAGAGCTTTTCCCCTAAGGTCAGGAACACAGCAGGGATGTCCACTATCACCACTGCTGTTCAACATAGTACTAGAAGGCCTAGCCTCAGCAATCAGACAACAAAAAGAAATAAAAGGCACCTGAATCCATAAAGAAGAAATCAAACTCTCACTCTCTGCAGATGACTCAATGCTCTATGTGGAAAACCCAAAAGACTCCACACTAAAATTGATAAAACTCATACAGGAATTCAGCTAAGTGGCAGGATATAAAATCAATGCACAGAAATCAGTTGCATTTCTATAACCATGGGACAGAAGAAAGAGAAATTAAGAAGTTGATCCCATTTACAATGGCACCCAAAACCGGTAGAAACCTAGAAATAAACTTAACTAAAGAAGCAAAAGATCTGTACTCAGATCTATAACTATAGAACGGTCATGAAAGAAACTGAGAAGACACAAAGAAATGGAAAAAACATTCCACGCTCATGGATTGGAAGAACAAATATGGTTAAAAATGTCTATGCTACCTCGAGTGATCACACGTTCAATGCAATCCCTATCAAAATACCATCAACTTTTTTCACAGAGCTGGGACAAATAATCCTGAAATTTGTATGGAACCAGAAAAGATCCCGAGTAGACAAAGGAATGTTGAAAAAGAAAAGCGAAGCTGGTGGCATCACAATTCCAGACTTCAAGCTCTATTACAAAGCTGTCATCATCAAGACAGTATAGTACTGGCACAAAAACAGACACACAGATCAATGGAACAGAATAGAGAATCCAGAAATGGACCTTCAACTCTATGGTCAACTAATCTGCGACTAAGCAGGAGAAGAATGTCCAATGGAAAAAAGACAGTCTCTTCAACAAATGGTGTTGGGAAAATTGGACAGCCACATGCGGAAGAAGGAAACTGGACCATTTTCTTACACCATACACAAAAACAGACTTAAAATGGATGAGAGACCTTAATGTGAGACGGGAATCCATCAAAATCCTAGGGGAGACTAGAGATAGCAACCTCTGTGACTTTGGCCACAGCAAATTCTTGCTAGTCACATCTCCAAAGGCAAGGGAAACTAAGGCAAAAATGAAGTATTGGGACCTCATCAAGATAGAAAGCTTTGGCACAGCAAAGGAAACAGTTGACAAAACCAAAAGACAACCAACTAGATGGGAGAAGATATTTGCAAATAACATATCCGATAGAGGGCTAGGATCTAAAATCTATGAAGAACTTCTGCAACTCAACATCCAAAGAACAAATAATCCAATCAAGAAATGGGCAGAAGACAGGAACAGACATTTCTCCAAAGAAGACAACCAGATGGCCAACAGACCCATGAAAAAGTGCTCCACATCACTCAGCATCAGTGAAATACAAATCAAAACCACAATGAGATACCACCTCACACCAGTCAGAAAGGCTAAAATTAAGAAGTCAGGAAAGGACAGATGTTGGCAAGGATGTGGAGAAAGGGGAACCAACCCTCTTACACTGTTGGTGGAAATGCAAGCTGGTGTAACCACTCTGGAAAACTGTATGGAGGTTCCTCAAAAAGTCGAAAATAGAGCTACCCTATGACCTAGCAATTGCACTACTTGGTATTTACCCCAAAGATACAAATGTACTGATCCAAAGTGGCATCTGCACCCCAAGGTTTATAGCAGTGATGTCCATAATAGTCAAACTATGGAAAGAGTCCAGATGTCCATTGACAGATGAATGGATTAGTAAGATGTGACATATGTATATATATATATATATATATATATATATATATATATATATATATATATACTACTCAGCCATAAAAAAAAAAAAAAGAAATCTTGCTGTTTGTAAGTGTGTGTTTGGAACTAGAGGGTATTTGCTAGTGAAATAAGTCAATCAGAGAAAGACAATTATCATATGATCTCACTGATATGTGGAATTTAAGAAACAAAACGATCATAGAGGAAGAAGGAAAAGATCATAGAGGAAGGGAGGGAAAAATAAAACGTGACTAAATCAGAGAGGGAGAAAAACCGTAAGAGACTCTGAATCATAGGAAACAAATTGAGGGTTGCTGGATGGGGTGGTGGTGGAGTGATGGGATAACTGGGTGATGGTCATTAAGGAGGGCATGTGATATAATGAGCAATGAGTATTATATAAGACTGATGAATCACTGACCTCCACCTCTGAAACCAATAATACATTATATTAATTAGTTGAATTTAAATTAAAAAAAGTAAAAAAAGACAAAATCTGTATATATGTTATTTATGTGAGTGTGTGTGAGGTATACATGTGTGTATTTGTATAGGTATAGAGAAAAGTGAAAGAATACTTATCAGACCATTAACACTGGTGGGGGGTTGAGTTGGCAATATGCATACATGAGAAGCAGGGAAAATTACTGTTTTTATAAAGTTTGTTGTGAGGAATTTGTATTGCTTTTGTGATTGAGAAAGAAATCAAAATAAAATATGTCTCAATGAATACCTCTTTTTTTCCCCCTAAATGAATATTTCATAAGCCTGTCTAAACCAGGCACTGTACTAGACTCTAGGCATACAAAGATGAAGAAGGGGGTGCCTTGCTGGCTCAGTCAGTGGATGATGTGACTCTTGATCTCAGGGTCGTGAGTTCAAGCCACACATTGGGCATGGAGCCTGTTTAAAAAAAATAGTATAAAATAAAGTAGAAGAAGACAATGACTTTGGGGCACCTGGGTGGTTCAGTTGGTTAAGCGACTGCCTTCAGCTCAGGTTATGATCCCAGAGTGCCGGGATCGAGTCCCACATCCAGCTCCCGGCTCCATGGGGAGTCTGCTTCTTCCTCTGACCTTCTTCCCTCTCATGCTCTCTCTCTCTATCAAGTAAATGAATAAAATATTAAAAAAAAAGACAATGACTTTGTTCTAAAAGGAACCCATGATCTAGGGGAAGAGACAGAAGAATCAACCAACAGGGATGTTAAACTGTTAGGGGCTTTAGAGGGATGACTAGGCAGCCCCTAAAGCATAGGCAGGGTGCCTCTATTTTATTCTCAGGAAGTGTTTGAGGGGTGTGTGCAGAGAATGTTTCCTGGAGGAGCTGATTGAGTTAGAGCTGAATCTTGCCTGATGCTTAGTTTTCCAGCTGGAAATGGGCTTAAAGGGTGTTCCAGACAGAAAGAACTCAATTTAGGAAGACAGGGATGCAAGAAACAACAAGAGGGCTTTGGAAACTCTGAGATTATGTGAGGGAGTGGGAGTAAATGAAGCTGAACAGGTAGACACTGTTCATATTTAGAAGGGCCTAGTGTGCTAATGCAAGGTTTTCATTTAATGCTACAGGTTTTGAACTCCTTCATAGAACAGGAGAATGACATGATTAGATTTGTACTCTCAAAAGATCATTCTTGCTGCAGCCTGTACAGAATATAGGAAAGAGTGGGGAAACAATGGTTTCTGCATTCAAAGAGGTCACAGTTTACTTTGGAAAAGAGACAAACGATAACCAGCATTTAGCAACTACTTACGTGGCCAGCGCTAAGTACTTCATAAATAGCAAATCTCTCTCTCTCTTTTTAAAAGATTTTATTTATTTGACAGAAAGAGAGCAAATGCACAAGCAGGTGGACCCTGGGATCATGACCTGAGCCGAAGGTAGACACTGAACAAACTGAGCCAACCAGGCGCCCCCAGGGGGAAATATTTCATGCTTCACCACCTACCTGTGGTAACATGTGGACCCCTCCATTTTTTCAAGAAGGAAACTGAGACACAGAGAAGTCAAGTGACTTGCCTCTGGATAGCCAAGTAGGCAGGCTGCGCTTCGGAGATCAAGAACTTAACCCCCACATAGTACTGTTTCTTAGATTTATAGTGGACTGTGTTCGGTTCTAAGCTAGGATAGGTGTCTTGGGGACCATCTAACCTGGACTGGGAGAATAAGGTAAGTCTTCCTATCCCAGAGGAGATAACTTCTAGTCTGAGATCAGAGACATAGATTAGAGTTCATGAGGAAGGAGGTGAGAAAGAAACCTCCAGGGAGAGGGAGGAGATTGTGTAAAGATACTGAGCTGCAAGAGAGCTTCATATATTGAGGGGAACTGAAGGTCACTCAGCATGGCTGGGTCACAGAGTCCTGGGAAGATGGGCTGGTGAGGTAAGTGAGGGACCAGACTGAGTTCTTAAAATTTTTTAATGATTTTATCCTAGGAGCAATAAGTAGCCATTGAAGTATTCAATGCGGGGGGTGACTACTTTTGCATTTTATTTATTTATTTATTTATTTATTTTAAAGATTTTATTTATTTGACAGAGAGAGATCACAAGTAGACAGAGAGGCAGGCAGAGAGAGAGAGAGAGAGAGAGAGAGAGAGAGAGAGAGAAGCAGGCTCCCTGTCGAGCAGAGAGCCCGACGCGGGACTCGATCCCAGGACCCTGAGATCACGACCTGAGCCGAAGGCAGCGGCTTAACCCACTGAGCCACCCAGGCGCCCCTACTTTTGCATTTTAGATTACTCTTTTTATTTGGTGGAGAATGGGTTAGAAAGGGCAAGCCTGCGGGCCTAACATCAGTCAGTGTTGTTTGAGTCATCTAGAAGGCCAGGACTTTTAGGGGGTCTGGAAAGAAACAGGGTAGGCAACTGCTTGTTGAAGGTCTATTATCTAAATTAAACTGACATATATTAACGATACGTTTTGTCAGGATTTTTTTTTTTTTTTTTGGTATCACCAAGGCTTAGGAAGTCAGCACCTTATATCAGAGTATTAGAGTTCTCTTTTTAGGAATGAGGTGGGGAGCATTGGGAGGAAATAAAAATAAAGATTCTGGAGCTATGTAGATGTGGGTTCGAATTCTGACTCTGCCACTTACTAGATCTGTGGCCTTTAAATGAATCACAAGGACATTCATCAGGTAAAGGCTCTAGCTTCTCATTCTGGTCTGAGCCACCATCATCTCTAGTCTGGAATATTACACTATTCTGAACTAGTCTGTTTTCAGACTTGCTCTCTTGATCTGATTCTCCCAGAGTACCCTTACTTTATTACTTTTAATTTTAAAACACAGATTATATTCCTTCTTTGCTAAAAATCTTTCAATGGCCCTCCATTTCTATAGGACCCCAGATCATCTCTATTCTGTTCTCACCTCATCTTCTACTGGTCTCCCTTCACCCCTCCCACGGCCTTCTGCGCTTCAGACAGAGAGCTTGTCATAGTTTCTGGAATACAGGAGGCAGCCTCCTGCCTCAGGGCTTTTGCACTTGCCTCTCCCTATGCTTGAAATGCTATTTGCCAGAGTCATTCCTACTGACTACTCTAGGATCAGATCTGTACACAGATTGTGATCCTCAGTGAAGACTTACCTAACTACTCTATTGAAGATGAAATATAGAGGTGCCTGGATGGTGCAGTGGATTAAGCTCCAACTCTTGGCTTAGACTAGGGTTGGGAGACTGACTCTCCAGTGGAGCCCACCACTCAGCATGGAGTCAGCTTGAGATTCTCTCTCTCTCTCTTCTTCTGCCTCTTTCTCTCTCTCTCAAATAAATAAATAAATAAATATTTAAAAAAAGATACGGGATACCTGGTGGTAGGGCAGTCAGTGGAGCATCCACTCTTGGTGGAGTGCCCAACTCCTGGTTTCTGCTCAGGCCATGTTCTCATGGTTGTGGGATCCAGCCCCTTGATGGACTCAGCAAGGAATCTACTTGGTATTCTCTCTCTCTAAAATAAATAAATAAACATCTTTAAAAAGTGATAATATAAAAGGGTATGGGGAAAAGAAAGGAAGACGGAAATACAGTATTTTCTTGAGTGTTTTAGCAGGGTTTTTGTCTTCAGTTCACTACAGTATCCCCATTGTGGTTTTTTGGATCCCCATAGTTTTAAACAGTGCCTGCCTGAAAGAAAACATTCAACAGATGTTTAATTATCATGATAATACAGATAACAATCACAAAGGACTTATTAAATAGGTCAGGCCGAGTTCTAAGCATTTTGTATATTTAATCCCCATAATAATTTATGAAAAGAATACAATTACCATGTTCACTTTAAAGAAATGAAGAAATGGAGAACACTGAAGCTCAGAGACTCAACAATTGACGCTCAGGAACTTTCCTAAGGTTACACAGCTGAAAAGTGGAGCGGAGATGGTGGAATAAAATGAATGAAATTCGATTTGGCTCTCAGGGCAGGGATGAAAATTGACACGGTGGGAGCGAATGCAATCGCTTCGTGGGAATGCGGTCAGTAGTGAGGGCGTCGCGCGCGCGCCTTGCAGCCCGGGTCTAAAGGAGGGTGCAAGTGCTTTGCTAACTGCGTCGCGGCGGCTCCACGGAGACTATGAACTGCCATTAGCAGCCGCCGCTCAGTCTCGGGCGGAGTGGGAGCAGGAAGTGGCGGCGGGCGTCGCGCGGGGTGACGTCACGGCAGCGCCGGTGGGGATAGGCGGGGGAGGAGGAGGAGCGAACCGAGCTTGGGGGGCGGCTGCACAGTCTCCGGGATCCCCAGGCCTGGAGGGGGGTCTGCGCGCGGCGGGCTGGCTCTGCCTCCCTGTCCGGTCCCGAGCGGGCCTCCCTCGGGCCAGCCCGATGTGACCGGGCCCAGCAGAGCCTGAGCAAGGAGCGGGTCCGTCGCGGAGCCGGAGGGCGGGAGGAACATGACATCGCGGAGGTGAGGAGCCCCGAGGGCCCGGCCCGGGCCTCGGCCCGGCCCCCGCCGCGTTCGATCAGCCCGGCCCGGGAGGGGGCGCCCCGGCCGGGCTTCGGACTCCCGCTCAGGGTCGCGGGGGGCAGTCTCCCTCTCAACTTCTCGTTCTCCCGGGGCCGGGGGCCCGGCGACACCGCGCCCCCACCTCTCGGGTCCCCATTCATTTCCTGCCTCCCCGAGTTCCGGCTCCCGCAGCCCTGGGGATGCCCGTCAGGACGCGGGCAGGTAGAGCCGCCCAGGGAACCGCGGACGCCAGCGGCCCGGCTCGGCGCCGCATTCCTGACCCATTGCCTCATGAGAATTGCCTCATGGTGATTCCGAAATAACCCCGCTCACTTGGGGAGGCTCCTCGGCTCGGGACGCGGGAGGGGAGAGGAGGGAGTTGCGCGGGGCCGGGCCCCCGACAGTCGAGCCGCTCTGGGTCACTCACTCTGCCTCCCGCGTGCGTTTGGGGGCTTCACTCGGGAACTTGACCCCTTTATGTGGCTCTTTGCACCTCCGTTCCCCCCCACCTCTCACGTGTCAGAAATGGAAAAACTGACTGTATCTGCTGCTATTAGAAGTATTTCCTTCCTCCGCGGTCTTCGCTTTGGGAGATGGGAGGGAAGGGAGCCCTATCTCTTGTTAGCTAATCCTCAACCACGGCCTCGAAAGTCAGGTAACATTAATCGCCCCCGTTTTACGGATGTGGAAACTGAGGCTCAGAAGTTTCATGCTAATAAATGACAGGATTTTGCACCTAAGAGTCAAAGGAGGATTAGTGAATTAATGAGATCCTTTGCAGGTTCAAGGTAATAATACTTCTAATAGCTAACGTTTATTTAGCTCTTACTGTAAGTAAAACACATTTAATTCTCACTGTAACCTTATGAGAAGAGGAATTCTTCTTCTTCTTTCTATTATCCTGGTTCTAAAGATGAGTAAACTGATTTTCAGAAGTTAGGCAGCTTGCCTGAAGTCACTGAACCAATAAGTGGTGGAGCCAGAATCCCCACTGTTTAATCACCATGTTGCTATTATTATTTTATAACTATTGTTAATCATTTGTAAGCCTTATTTTGTTGTTGAACTGCAGTGTGACCTATTGTTTTCAGAAAATAATCCTGTTATTTTGTATTGCCACTCTATATACGATTCACACATAAGACCCATTGTTTGGTCTTTTCCTTTATTGGCTTGCTATGGTCACTGTCTTAGACATTGGAAAAACTGTTTCAAGCTGTTGGGGTTATTTGAGAGAATTTTCAAAATACTGGGCATGTCTTCTCAAAATACACCTGCAAATTATTTATTTGTGGAATGAAAAGAGGGAGAGAAAACAAAACCAAAACCTCTTAGGAAGTGAGTGATTTGGACAGGTCTCCTGGCCAAGTGCTTACAAATCTGGGTAATATAGAACTGCATTTCAGAGGAACAGTGTATAGCCTCAAATGTTCTAATTCTTTAGGGAGCTTTTAAATAAAACAGTTGTCTATTCTTTAATCTGTCAAATAGTCATTGAACCTTTTGTTCCTTGTGTCTGCTGTTCCAGACAAGTAAGGATCTGCTTCTTTAGGAGACAAAAAGACTGGGGGTTGGGAGTGGGGAAGGGGCCGAGTAGTAATAGACCCTACATTGTCCAGCTTGTTAGTGTAGAATTGGAGAAGTTGGGGGTATGGCCAAAGCTGCAGGTGGCAAAGATCATTCCATTTCTCTGGCCCTCTTATGTTATTGAAAAGAAATGCGTGCCACCTAAAAAGTCAGCTTGTGAACATAACACATGTAATTGGAAATTATTTATTATATTTTCAGATTGCAGGTCTGTTTTATTATTTTTAACCAGGTTTTTTTAAAAAAGATTTTATTTACTTATTTGACAGATCACAAGTAGGCAGTGAGGCAGGCAGAGAGAGAGGGGGAAGCAGGCTCCCTACTAAGCAAAGAGCCAGATGTAGGGCTCAATCCCAGGACCCTGAGATCATGACCTGAGCTGAAGGCAGAGGCTTAACCCACTGAGCCACCCAGGCACCCCTTTAACCAGCTTTATTGAGGTATAAATGACATGCATTAGATTACGTATATTTAGCATACAATTTGATGTTTGGATACATGCACATAGTCATGAAACCATCATCATCGTGAAGATAATGAACATGTCCATCACCCCGTATGATGTTTCCTTGTGACTTTTTAAATCCCTTCCTTGTCAGGGGATCACTGTTCTGCTTTCTGTCACTACACCTTAGTTTACAAATCTTAGAATTTTATATAAATGGAATTTTATGTCTGGTGTCTTATACTCAGCATAGTTACGTTGAGATTCATCATGTTGTAGTATGTATCAAAAAGTTCATTTCTTTTTATTGCTTGGTAATATCCCATCGTATGGGTGTACTACCATTTGTTTATCCATCCACCTGTTGATGGAAACATTTGGAATGTTCTGGAGTTTGGCTGTCACAAATAGAGCTGCTGTGAATGTTTGTGCACAAGAGGTATTTACCAAAATACCTCTTGGGGGAATGGCTGGCTCATCTAGTTAATGCATATTTAACTTCTTCAGAAATTGCCAAACTTTTCCAAAGTAGTTATACCATTTATATTTCTACTAGTAGCATATTAGAGTTCTAGTTACTCCACACCTTTAACAACACTTGGTATGGTCAATTTCTAAATTTTAGCCATTTTAGTGGATCTGTCATGGTATCTCATTGTAGTTTTCTTTTTTAAAGATTTTTTAAAATTTATTTGAGAGAGAGAGCAAGTCCTCATGTGTATGAGTGATGGGGGCAGGGGCAGGGGAGAAGCAAACTCCCTGCTGAGCAGAGGGCCAGATGTAAAGACCCTGAGATCATGACCTGAGCTGAAGACAGACACTTAACTGACTGAGCCACCCAGGCACCCCTCATTGTCGTTTTCATTTTTTATTTTTTTTAAAAGATTTTACTTATTTATTTGACAAAAAGGGAGAGATGGCAACAGAGAGCAAAAGTGGGGAGGAGAGGGAGAAGCAGACTCCCCTTGAGCAGGTAGCCTGACGTGGGGCTTGATCTCAGGATGCTGGGATCATGATCTGAGCTGAAGGCAGATGCTTAACTGACAGAGCCTCCCAGGCATCCCCTCACTGTAGTTTTAATTCATATTTTCCTTGGTGACTAATGATGTTGATCATCTTTTCATGTGCTTATTTGCCATCTGTATATTTTCTTTGGTGACATGTCTATTTGATCAAATATTTTCCCCCATTTTTATTCAGTTATTTATTTATTTTTTAATTGAGATTCAGGAATTCTTTATTCCAGGGGCACCCGGGTGGCTCAGTCAGGTAAGGATCTGTCTTTGGCTCAGGTCATGATCTTAAGGTCCTGGGATCTGAACCCTTGGGTCAGACTCTGCTCAGCAGGGAGCCTGCTTCTCCCTCTCCCTCCATGCTTCTGCTCTCTCTTGCTCTCTCTGTCAAATAAATAAATAAAATCTTAAAAAAAAAAAAAAAGAATTCTTCATTCTAGAAACAAGTCCTTTATCAGAATTGCAAATATTTTCTCTTAGTCTGTGGTTTGTCTTTCATCTTTTTTTTTTTTTAAGATATTATTTATTTGAGAGAGAGAGTGCACAGGCATAGGTGGGGGTGGTGGGCAAGAGGGTGAGGGAGAAGCAGACTCTTTTCTAAGCAGGGAACAGGGTTCAGGACTCCATCCCAGGACCCTGAAGTTATGACCTGAGCCAAAGGCAGACAGATGCTTAACCAACTGAGCCACCCAGGTGCCCCCCCCTTTTAAAAATATTTATTTATGTATTTCACACACACACACACACACACACCCATACACCCATGAGTGGGGAGAGGGGGAGAGGGAGAGGAAGAGAATCCTCAAGCAGATTCCTCAGACTCCCCCTGAGTGCAGAGCCTGATGCAGGGCTGGATCCCAGAACCTTGAGATCATGACCTAAACCGAAACCAAGAGTTGGATGCTTAGCTGACTGAGCCCCATTGTCTTTTCATGTTTTTTTTTTTTTTTAACAGTCCCTTTAGAAAGAACAGAGGTTTTAAATTTTGATGAAATCCAGTTTATCAATTTTTATTTTTATTAAGTTAATTGATTAATTAATTAATTTAAAAAGATTTTATTTTTAAGTAATCTCTACACCCCACATGGGGCTTGAACTTACAACCCAGAGATCGAGAGTCATATGCTCTGTTCGCTGAGCCAGCCAGGTGCCCCTCAATTTTTTTTTTTAATGGATCATGCTAAGGAATCTTTGCTTAATTAACCCAAGGTCCCAAATGTTTTCTAATAGGTTTATGATACACTTTGAGTTAATTTTTGTATATGGTGAGGTGTGAAGATTTTATGTATGTGCACACGTACATATATATATTTTGCATATAGATAACCAGTTTTAGCACTGTTTGTCGAAAAGACTGTTTCTTTTGAATTTGTATCTTTGTAGAAAATCTGTTGTCCATTTATATGTGGGTCTGTTTCTGGAATCCATGCTGTTTCATTGATCTGTTTATCTGTCCATATGCCAGTACACATGGTCTTGATTATTGTAGTTTTATTATAAGGTTTGAGATCAATGTTCATCTTCCAGCTTTGTTTTTCTTTTTCAAATTATTTTTAACCTTGGTATTAATTCAATCAAATAGCTATTGAACCAGGCAGGATAAAGCAGTAAGATTGGCAAAGATGCTATTCATTTGGTTGAGAGAGGGAGAGAAAAGAAAAACCTGCGAATGAAGATTACAATTTCAGGTAGTAGTAACTGCTGGGAGGGCAAAAAGCAAAACAAGTGGGGATAATGTTAGTTTGATGAATTTAGGAATGATCTCTCTGAGGAGGTGACCACAGGAGTTGACTCCTGAGTGACCAGTGTTATTCTCAGTTTCATTTTGCCTAATTATCAAAATAATTCTTCTTGGTGTGTATAAGATTAGACTTTGTATGCATTCTGTAATTAAAATGTCAGCATATTCAGTATAC